TCGACCTCTGCTTCTGTAAACTTAACGAGGAACTGCCCATGTAAGAAAGTAGCACGACGAATAGGTATGGGTTCAACAGTAGCGGCTAAACTAGGTTTAGCATGCATGGCAATATTTAATATGCTAGGTTTTTGAACTTTTGAATAATCCAACGTCTGGGGAGTGTTTGGATTAGGGTTAATTGATGAGGTAGGGTTAGGAGAAGGCAAAGCGTGGCCATGGGAGCTCTCTCGCGATGAATCGCCTCAGAATCGCCTCCTTTTTGTCAGAGCTTCTCTCTGTAAAATTATAAATATAAATTTTTTTAATGGGTTAACAATTTATCCGATAAGTAAATTGAGTAATACACCCCAAACCATAAAGTCGTTAATTATAAATTTCTATTTGTTCACCAACTATTACCCCGATAACCCGATACCATTAAGCCTATACGCCAATTTTGCGGTTCGATTAACGGTTCAGTTTTGAACAGTCCTAGTTATTACTTAATTATTGTTACTACTCCCTTAATTCCAAATAAAAAAAATTAATAATCATCCTATGAAGCAAACACATTAAATAGAAAAATCGTAAATTTGATTGTCAACTTGAAAGACATGCAATTTTTGGGATTGTTACATAAATTACTTTACTGATGAGCAATTTCATCTTAGAAATTTTATTAACTTCAATTGAAATTCCCAAAAGGTTTTTTAAAATCTCTTGCTTCAGGTTTTGTAATGATCCAACCAGTCGTTTTGAGTATTTGCATTCAGTTTGGCAGTTTGAGGTTATAAGTAGCTTCGTATGGTATATTATGACTTGCGTGTATTGTCGGTTTCGGTTTTCGAGTGGTTTGGGATTGATTTAGAAGGATGATTCTCACTTGAGATGTTTGAAGTTGAAAGAGTTGACCAAATTTGACTTTTGGTATATTTGACCTCGGATAAGAGTTTTGATGGTTCAAGGTCATGTTTTTCTTCTTGTTTGTTATATCCACATCTATGCCATTTCTCATTAGTTGCACCTTCGTATAAGCCTTCTACCATGTTAGTTATTCATGCCTTCTATTTTGTTTAGCTTATAAAGATCATATTTTTATTCTTGTTTGATATATCTACATCTATGCCATTTCTCATTTATTGCACTATTGTATAAGCCTTCCACCAATGTTAGTTAGTGAAATTTATGTTCTTCTATCTTATTTGTTATCATTACTTATATGCCTCACACCTAGTCTGTTGCCGTTGTCCATATGTATTGACTTGTTCGTTATTGATAGTTGTGTATTTCTCACTCTGTCATTACTGTAATTGGAATTTCTTTTACCTGGTTGGTATTATTATACGTATATTTCATAAGGATGAGATAAATGCATGAAGGGTGTTGTCGTGCCATTTGATTGGATATCTTGAGTACACTTCTCATACTATGAAAGCTATGGATTTTCTATCATGGTTTGATGGTCATCGCTTTAAGAAATGGATTGGTTGTGATATTGAGAGATATTGACCTTAATTTCTTATTGTAATCATTTACTACTTCGCATAATTGTTCTCGTACTCTTCTCTGTTATGTTTTAGTATTGTTTTTATTGAAATTCTACTACACATGTTATACTAGTGAGTATATTTTAACTAAAGACCCCCGTCACTACTTTACCGAGGTTAGTCAAAATACTTACTGGGTACGTAGGGTTGGTTGTACTCATACTACACTTCTACACCTTGCGTGTAGATCTTGGAGCTGATGTTGCTGTGTACGACGGGAGCTGGCGTTGAAGACATACCTGCGTTCCGATTATAGCTACCACTTGCCCTTGGTAGCTTTAGATTTGCAAATCTATGTATATTCCGAACAGATGATGTATCTATGTCATACCAGCTTTGTAAATTCTAAACCTTAAAAGCTCATGATTTATACTACTAGCCATTGGGTTATTGTATGGAATTCAGTTATATTATTTATTGATCACTTTTATTTATTAGAACTGTGTTGACTGTTATTGGACTTATCTAACGGGTTGGGTTAGGTGCCATCACGACTAGTTAAATTTTAGGTCGTGACAAGTTAGTATCAGACCACTAGGTTCGTAGGTTCTACGAGTCATGAGCAAGTGTCTAGTAGAGTCTTGTGAATCGGTATGATGACGTCCATACCTATCTTCGAGAAACTACAGGGCATCTAGAAAACTTCACTTCTTTCTTTCCTCATCGTGCAACTTTGTTTCAGCTTGGCGCCTATATCTTTGATTTCTTCCTATTCATTGTATTCGATGTTGCACACTCAATATCAGCTATGCGCCAACGATTTGTGATGTTGTGAATGGATTACACAGGGCTATGGATGCTTGATTATCGTCATGATGTACTGTCTAGTCTTGGGAACAGATGTTGTGATATATCTTTCAATCGTTCATTTGTGGTACGAAGCAGATTCTTATATCTGATTGGTAAGCAGGGACTTAGGAAGACTGATGGTGGCCTTTTATTGTGATTATGTTGGGTTCATGGTAAGGTGTTGATTTAAGTACAACTGGGGTTATATCTTGCGTGATGAGTTTGGATCTTGTGTTTCGTATGAGGTTTCCATTCGGTGGAATGCATATATTATCATTTCAGAGCATTTGGGAGAAATTTGCCTTACTATTGCAAGGATGGGTGTGCACTTGGCAGAGTTTTCGGAGTGTTCTATAACCAGTATTAACCTGAGCTTATGAAGTATTAAGTTGATTTGCGGTGCAGGATCGGGGCAACTATGAAGTTACAGTACTATGGATCACCGACGATGTGTTTTATGGCTTCGAGCTAAGTGGAAGAGTCTACAATCGACGATCGGATTGTAGGATCATAAGTTGTATCAATTTCCAGGCTGAAGGATTGCCTGGTTTTTTCTTTGAATAGTCATGTGCTGGTGAAGCGCGGGTTGCTCGGTACGTATTGGCTATGTATTGGTGATCAGAGTAAGGTGAAAGGCTAACGAGAAAATTTTGATGAGTTCCAGATCATATGTGGCATCTAAGGACTCTTGAATTTGTGTGTAGATAGGGCTTGAGATCGGTAGTGAATGGTGATCGGATCTGTGGTATTTCTACATCGAGAATGATTCTACATAGCAATATTAGAGAGATGCAGGAAACGACTTCAGATTCGCAGAAGGTTCCTTCAGAGCGAGCATATCAGATTGAGTTACTTTTGGGTTGGCAGTCTGCGTGACTCGGTTGGGTTAGATGATATCCGTTATGATGACTTGATTATATTTTAAGGAGTTCCAAAGAATTCACCATGGTTATGGCCACAACCCGGAGTTGATGTTTTCTACAGGTATAAAAGGTATATTGTGTGTGGTGATGTCCTCTTGTACTAGGTTAAATGGAAGTTATCGGTTGATGAGGTGTTCATCCTATTTCTGATTCAGAGTTGATTATGAGATTTTCGTACCTTTCTCGAGTTAGCATGATAGTTGTGGTTCGTCGTGTGGGGTTAAAAGTTGCGAGCACAAGATTGTGGTTTAGTTTCGAAGGGAAGGTCAAGAGTTGTAGACGGCATGGATGATTTCAGGTGTTTAAGAAAGTATTGGCACTATTGGGTATCGCTTGGGAAGGGTGTGCATTTCAGAAGGCACCTTGTATTTTGACTTGCATGTGCTTGACTAGTATTATGATAATCACTTGGTTTTGGGCTGCTAAGGTTCATGTTTTGCTACATGGAGCAAAAGATTTTTGTGGGTATCCTCCGCGAGATGATTGTGCATGAGTGATGTGTTGGCCAATTGAGTAGTAGAGTTAGGATCGAATATGGTGATTTCGTTATTCTAGAGATTTAAAAATTGGACGTTCTCGCTGGTAGACTATTTCTTGGTTATGAATTGTGAAGATATGTTAAGAATTGGATTACTGATGATATGTGTTATGGATAGGTTGTGGACTTTTGGAAGGTTATTTACCTGTTTTGGAGACGATTGGAATTTGGCTTGGGGGCTATTTGTTGGCCTAATGAGAATGTGTATTTTATATCGGATCGGATTTGCTTGCTCTTATGCAATTATTACTACATGTATATCATCGGGAAGAATGGATGTTATTCGCCATGATCTATGTTGTGTGTTTCTCTTTTATGCTATGACGGGTTGTGAGGATTACATGATTATTCGCACGCATATTGTAATTTCGTTTAGACCTTATGGCATTATGGGCGAGATGAACCTCGTGATGTTGATTTGCTTATTGCACCATAGTTGTGCTTGTCTTTTTAAGTATTGCTTGTTGCACCATAGTTGTGCTTGTCTTTCTAAGTATTGCCTATTGCCTAATCATCTTTCCACAGTTATATTTGTGCAGTCTATCGTGCTTGATGTTGACACATATGTGATTAGTGAGCTCGAGCATTATGGCATGATGGGTATCCCTATATGGATTGATATGATTGGATTGGATTGCGCGTCGCAATGGTAGTGTATGGGATCGGGTTGCACGCCACAACAGTACAGTAATGAGATGTAATTCCTTATGCTTATTTTGTGTGTTTTGCTTTTACTTTATGGAAAATAGTTCATAAGAAGATGTTAATATTACCCCGCATGCTTAACTTGCTTGGTAGCCTTCTTATTTAACCTTCTTACTGTTATCGTCATATCTGAATTATTACTTGTTTGGTGTACGGATAGCGTAGTGTGGGGCTCTATATGGCTTTTGGTGTGGCTTGTCGATTGGGTTGCTTGTTGTCACGACCCCAATTTTTCATCTTAGGATGTCGTGATGACATCTAGTCTCTAAAATTAGGTAAGCCTAATATTTAATAATAGCTTAATAGAAATAACCAAATTGAGATACTAAAATAAAACCGATAAGTTCATATTAATTCCCAAATAGAATACCAACATAATTCCCAAAACTAGTGAAACTGAGNACTTAAGTCCGGTTACGTGGCATGCCTCAATGCACGGGGATTGCCTTTTTCTTTTCTCTCAATTGTTTTTGTGCTTCCTCCTATTTTTTCCCTTTTATATTTGAAAAAGTCAACGGTTAAATTATTTGGGAAACCCAAACGTTTCCTCTTATAATGGTTTCCAACCGTTTCTAACAAACCCTTTATTCTGCTGCTACTCTCTCTTCCATGGGAAAAAAATTATTACTCTTTCCTTTCTTTGCAATTTGGACAACCCTAGCCAATGTCAAAATTGCATCACATGTGGTGATCTGAATTGAGATCCAATAGATGCCATTCAAGTTGGTAATTTAAGCGACAAAAAGGGCTGGTAAATATTTTTGCTTTTTTTAAAATATATCAAAAACTGAAAGTGTATTTTTCAGATTGTTCTTCATTTTTTTTAATTGAAAAAACAATTTTTGATTGTGATTTCAGTAGATGTTGTCACGACAGTTTCAAGCTTTTCGTCACCTGGCCTCACTGTTTTGGTGCTTCAATCACAAAGGACAAAAGAGAAGTATTTTTTTTCAGTAAAAGATCAACCACTATTATCATTATTTGGTAATGTTTTCCTTATCCCCTTTCTCTTGTAAGTTAATTTTTGCACCAAGATCTATTTCTATTTAATTACTGTGTCTACTGCCCGAATTTGCTTCACTTAGATACTAACGTAAACTTGCGAGTAATAGTAGCTATTTTAATGATACATATTTTATCGTTCCCACCCGATGTTTATATCAACGCAAAGAACATCTAATATGTTTCTTTACATAATCTGTTAGCGCTTACTTATATTCGATCAAAATGAATTTTTAGATGGAAAGTAGACAAATGCATATTAATTTTGCTAATTCTTTTGCCGATCTTATTTTATTTGATTTTTGTGATAAATGACAAATGGTGTTGATTTTGTGACAGACAAATAGTGTTGATTTGTGACAAAGTTTAACATTGGAAGCACAAGGTAGACTGGTGGTAGTGATGGTGGCTCTATCCCTACTTCTTCCATTGAGGTTTGTCATTTGGGTAATTTCATAATAAATGATATTTCTGTATTTTCTACTTTTCTTGAATTTATTGGTTGATACTTTTTGGTAGGATTGTATAAGGATCATGTTTTATTTAGGATACCCATTAGAAATAAGCCTTCTGGAGTGTTTTACCTTTCTGAGCAGCTTAATTTTGATAATAATGATTGAAAAACCTGAAACTTTACTTTAAGTGCAGTAAATTGGTTGATATGTCGTTTGTATATACAAATTTTGGAGCCAAATGAAGATACATTATGTACTACTCAAATGGAAATACATTCTCCGCTTATTTATCATCATTTAAAATCTTTCAAGGATCTATTTATCTTTCTTCTTAATTATTTTGCCTTTGTTCTATTTTCTAGATATATTAATTTATTATTTAAAAGAAAAAAACTAATTTGATATATGTCTTCTGTATACGTGTCCAATTTAATAAGTAACCTCTACATGTGATCCTTCCTCCATTTAAACTCATTATTTCATAACTTAATTACTTCCATATTTATCCGTTTTGATTGCTCATTATTTTGATTCGCTTCTAATGTGTTCCTTTATTGTTCAAGTCTACTGCTTGACTTTTGAGATTTTGGTTCTCATATCCGCGCTTCAAAAGATTTATTTTTTGGATTGACATTGCTGCATTCATTGATATGGATTTAGAAGTTTCACTTTTTTTATCACTTTTCAACATGATCAAAGGGCCATGAGCCCATGAGAGTCTCGTAAGGTTTAATTGATACAACCTTTTATTTTCCTTATTGGTTGGTATGTATATATTTTGCTGCTTCCTGTATTTCTTTGTTAGTTTACACCAGCCAATCATTACAAATTTGTGAATGGATATTTTCTAAGATCTCTACACAGAGTTTTTTGCTCTTTAGTTATCCTAATTATGAGTTTATGTTTTGATGTTAAACAATAATTTAGATTTCATCTTTGGTATGACTTTGCGTTTATCTGATTTTCTTTTTGGTTGTTTATTTTTTGTATTTATAGTTTAAGTTGCGTAACTGTGTAGGAATGTGTGTTTTATGCACATTAGAATTGGATATATTCATCATTATGCTATTCAAATTTGGACCAAATTTTTGCACTTCAATTGGTGTTTTATCTCATGTGTCTCTGTATTAAATTTCTTCTTTTTCACTTTTTATATCAGGTTTTGAGAGAGTATGAGTCGCTAGGGGTACTCCGGTGAAATGTTTTACTCTTTATCATTTTTCATTCCATTTGGATTTCACAGTGTTCGTCTTCAAATTAGATATTTGGTTTTGGCAAGGTATGAGTTTAAGCATATGGATTTGGGTGAAACTTTTATATCTTCTTCTTCTTCTTCTTCTTCCTCCTAACCATTTGGATGTCACAATATTTTTTTGAGAGTGATTTGTAAGAGACAAAGATTGAAAAAAGGAAAACTGAGATAATTATGTTACGTTGTATGATTGTTGAAAAGATAGAAAGTACAATCAATAAGAATTATCACTCTCTTCACCTTTCCTTCTTAAGGTAATAATCTAAATAATGACTAACTATAAAAAAAAAAATTGGATAAAGAAAGGACAAATGAAAGAAAGATATGAAGTGGCGGGGAGGGGAGAGGGGGTGGGTGCAAAAGGATCCAAATAAGGTTTCAAAGACAATAGATTGGATACTTAAAGTGGAAAAATACGTAGGTTTCTTATGATGTTTAGCAGTAGTACATAAGCCTTGATAGGAACGTAGCAAAACACATTTTTCAGTCTATTTCTCAAAACATTTCACTAACATCAAATAACCAATAATTTATTTATTATATCTTTTGGATTTGCATTGTATATGGTTTTATTCTCATCTCGGTGTATGTTTCCTCCCTTGGTATTTCGAGCTTATTTTGACAGTAGCGAGGACGGTGTTGATATCTCTATTTTTAGCCTATCAATTTAATAGCATGTAAGCTTTTTTTCTAATCATAGATATCATGGGTTGCATGTTAGTTTCCTCGAACATACTTTTAGATCTCTGTCACTTATATAGCTCTCTACTTTGTTCGCAGCGAGTGAAAAAAATTATTAGTAGCTCCATTTCATGTTTAAGGTCTAGAAATTCAAATGATCATTTCATTGGTGCCTCGTCTAATGGGTTGGAGTTCAGACTTATATTGCTTCCATGCTAAAAGTGAGAGTTGAATCCAAAGGTTTAAAGGATTTCAAGGGATCAAAAAGCTCGAGTACCTTATAGCTCCATGATTCCTTGCTCTTTTCTTTTTGTTCAATATTGTACAATACTTGATAATTAATATTATTCAAGTATAAAAGGTAAACCTTTAATATTCTGACAAGATATTCCCTAAATTAGATGTGCTGATCGAGAACTCTTCATGTTACCTTCTCCATGTTTTATTAATCTTGAAGTTGAATGTTCTGCACTGAGTATTAAAGTAGAGAGGATCTCTTGATTTTTTGCTCGATATTTCGTAACATAGAGCATATTTATATTGCAGTCTTACTTGGATGATGTTACTGCAACTTAGTAACGAAATAAGTACTCTTTTTATGCAGGGCAACAACTGAACATTCAAATAATTACCCTCAAAGCAATAACAAACTGTGAGACACTCGAGAAATGGGAAATAGTCGTGTAGTAAATATTACAAAGACCATAAACAGCTTACAAAAAGTCTAACAAGAAATAATGAAGTCTTGTAACTTTTGTTGAAAGAAAATGCATATATTACCATTGAAACAAACTTAAATTATCAAGTTAGTACTAAAGTGAGGAAGATGTTTCGAGAAAAGCTTATAATCATCACATAATCCAAGCAAATATGTATCATTATTTTTTTGATCAGTGATTGTATATTATTCTTTAGTTAACATGCCCAGAAAGAATATGCAGTTTCATGATTTCTATATAAACTCAACATTGAACTCATATGGCAAAAGGTGAATTTTGTTGCTCTTATATTCATTTCAAATGCATTACCTCCAATTGTCACTTTTATTACAAAGATGTTGAGAGATCAAAGCATTTAGTAGGCCTTCTAACGCATTAAAATATCTTTTATGCTACACTTGATTCTTCAGTGTGTATTTCATCAGATGATATGTTAGTGACTAATTTAATTTTCAAAGTCACAATTTTAGTTGTAGTTTCAAGTGGATGTTCAATTGGTTTAACGATAGTTGTATTTATCATTCTGCTGAAAAATTTATATCTTCAATCTCCACTGTTAAAGGTAAATGATATATTTCGAAATTTAAAAAGGTATTTTACTATCGCGCGAAGCGCGGACAAATTATCTAGTGAGAAGATAAAGGAAGGTGACTTTGAGGCTTGCGAACTTCGGACAGATATACCTTGAAGTCTTCTGTTACAACGGAATGATCACTAGCGCCCGACACGAGCAGATATACCTGGATCTGCACAAAAATATGCAGAAACGTACTATGAGTACACCACAACGATACCCAGTAAGTATCAAGCCTAACTTCGATAAAGTAGTGACAAGGCCAGGTCAAGAAACCTACTAGGATAAAAGAAACTGAACAAGATATGGTACAGTCAAACAATGTAGAATGAAGAAATAAATGACAAATAAGTAGTTCATTAATGAAAGCTAGCAACGGTATCTAAAGCAATAAAGGTAACAAGGGATGAATACATGTTAAGAACATCAAGAAATCAATGCGGACAAATACAGGTAAAACAAATAAGGAAATAACAAAACTTGTTCAACCAACAAGCCTTTTTAACATAGAGTGTGCAACAAAAATCACAATCGAGGTACCGCCTCGATTCCACATTTCACAATTTCAATCACAATCTTTCCTTATTTCACCGCGTGAGCCTTATATTTAGTTTTGAAAATTATTTTTTCCGAAATAGCTACACGGGTTTTAGTCCACCTTATCTCACCGCGTGGCTTCAAGTAGTTCCCCTACTAGCAACACACGTATCAAGCCTACCTTATCTTATCGCATGTGTATCAATCCCTAGTCTTATATCACCGTATGTGTATCAATATCACAACACGATCACAACTCGTACCGCAAGTGCCCATATGCTACAACTTGCCAAAAAGTCAAAAATATCAATATTTTCACAATAAATAGCCCATGGCTCAATCACAATGTGTACAACAATCTCAACAATAACAATACGAATGAAAATTTTCTCAACAAGGAAAAGTATCTCAACAATTAACAACTTCACCACAATATGATAATGGCTTTTACAACTTCAACACCAATAACTCAACAAGGAGATATTTAATGAAATAACAACTTCAAGTAAAAGTAATTCAACAATTAAAGAGGTAACAAGACAATAAGGAAGGCAATAACTTCAATTAAAGCATATAAGAGCAAAATAACAAGTAAGAGGTAGAACAAGTGTTAACAACGTCAAATAAAATATGTAAGTGTAGATTAACACATGTAAGAGTAGACTCAATACCAATATAGCCTGTGTACACACTCGTCACCACGTGTACACGTCTTCCACATAAACACAAACAACACAAAAATCCAAATCTTAA